TTTATCACCAACTCTCGCTCTCTCTTTACTTTAACTTTCTCTTTCTTCACTCTCCATCTCTCTCTCTATATACTTCCCTCACTCCCTTTCTCTCAGCTATTCCCTCTCCTAATTTTGTTTCTCTCTTTCTCTTTCTGTTTTCCCATCTCTCTCTTTCCATCTCTCTCCCCATCTTCTCTCCACTCTTTCTTTATATACCTCAAGTCTCCCTCTCTCTCCCCTCTCGTTGCCTTTTTCTCTCCCTCACTCTCTCCCCAGCTTCTCTTCACTCTTTCTCTGCACATCCAAATCCAGTTTATTTATAAAGTGCAGTACAGTCGTCTCTCTCGCAGCGTATGAGCGAGTACTGTGTTCCTCCCCCTGCGTCCTGATTGGCTGTAGACCACTGTCAATCAATCTCCTCCGTGCCTTGTACAGTACAGAATGTGTTCAGCTTGACAAATTTACATAAATGTTCGATTACTAGCGTTGGGATTCTGAAGTGCTGCGCGATCGGGCAATTGCCGCGCTTACTGTGAGGTGCGGAGCTCTCCGTCGGTCCTTTCTCCTGCCAAGCCTGTCCCGATCGTGAGTCCTGGTTCAGTTCTGGTTTAGTCCTGTTTTAGTCCTAGTTCAGTCTTGGTTTAATCCTCCTTGTTCAGTCCTGGAATCAGTCCTAGGTTAGTCCTGGGTCAGTTCTGCTTTAGTGTGAGTGATAACTTTGTCCAAACAAAAGAGTGTCACTGGTTCAAACTGACTGAAACACACTAGACATGTGAAACCATCAGATTGGACCACAGGAGAAAGCGGGGATGGAGAACATAGCTTCACGGCAACCAGAGGAGTGCACAATGTAACTTTCCTGGAAGTCACTGGATGAATTAACAAAGCCTGAACTTCAGTGACACTGAAACCATCCTGTCGGGATTCAGAAAGGCCGGAATAATTCTAACTGGAACTGATGCTGAGTCTGACGACAGCGACACAGAAGAGGAAGCGGTGCTCTGTTTACATCATGGATCTATGGTTTATCTCCGGAGGTCGCGCAGAAGTGACACCGAGGACAAAGAATTCAATAGATTTAGTGATTTGGACTGAGATTGTGAGTTTGGTAAACTTATGTTCTGTTGTTTATGCTATAATTATCTGAATAACTGTTAATATGTTACGTTAATATATTAACGCCTGTTCAGTCTGTTGTTCTCTGTTCTGTTGTTTTTACTAGAACTTGACTTTCAAGATGAAATGTCGGTTCCTGGTCTCTGATTTTATAAAATACATTTTCCCCAAAAAGGCGACTTATATATGTTTTTACCTCCGCCAAGGAGGTTATGTTTTTGCCGGCGTTTGTTGGTTTGTTTGTTTGTTTGTTTGTCTGTTAGCAACATAACTCAAAAAGTTATGGACCGATTTTGATGAAATTTTCAGGATTTGTTGGAAATGTGAAAAGGAAGAACTGATTTCATTTTGGGGGTGATCCGGAAGAAATCCTGGATTCTGGATCACTTTGAAATTTTAGTTAACATTGTGGTAAATGGGGCCAAAAATTTTGTTTCTCAATATCTTGGTTAATTATTGACCAAACCCCATGAAATTTGACTCAGGGATGGACAATGGGATCCTCTTTCATATTCCAAAGGCTGATCCGGATCTGATCCAGAAGACTGATTTTATCGCAATTTATATAAAAAATGGGGGTAGTCCTTGGCGGAGGTCTGCGCTCTCTGAGTGCTTTTCTAGTTTGTTGATGTTTTTTGTTGTTTTGCTGATGCGACTTATACTCCGGAGCGACTTATAGTCCAGAAAATACGGTATCTATTCTCCTCTCTTTCCCTCTTTCTCTCAACCTCGCTCCGTCTTTCAGAAAATACAATATTCTGACAGCATTTAATGTAAACATCAATTGTATTTGTCTGTATCATATATAAGTACGTGCATTATTTGTCCAATGTTCTAGCAACTTTTTATGTACAACTCTTCAGATGTTCATCCCTGTCCTACGAGGCACTGCAGAGACTTTTATCTTCCCTTGTGCAGAACATCCACAAATTAAAGAGCACTCAAGTTCAGGGGGCTGACCCTCTGGAATAATTTAGCCCAGACTCTCAAATCTATTTCCTCACTGGACTATTTTAAAAGACAATTAAAACAAACATTGATTTCTACTGATATTTAATATTTGAACTGCTGAAAGTCAACGTATCTGTTCATGACTGATGTGCTAAAATCATGTTTACAGAGGAGGTGATCTTATAATGCCGGGCGTACACTGTGCGATATTTTCGGTCGTGTCACTCAGCTAGAGAACTACAACGTGAAAAGTAAAGGAACGGAGAAGTTGTAAATATAAGTAAAAGTAATTTATTGTTTTATCATTATTCGTTTCACGTTGTAGTTCTTCTTCTTTACTTGCCGCTTGATCGGTCCGTCGGAAAATAGAGTCCCGAGGTCACTTCCGTTGTGGCTTTTTGATGTGTTGTGGCTTTTTGACGTGTTGTGGCTTTTTGACGTGTTGTGGCTTTTTGACGTGTTGTGGCTTTTGACGTGTTGTGGCTTTTTGACGTGTTGTGGCTTTTTGACGTGTTGTGGCTTTTTGACGTGTTGTGGCTTTTTGACGTGTTGTGGCTTTTTGACGTGTTGTGGCTTTTGACGTGTTGTGGCTTTTTGACGTGTTGTGGCTTTTTGACGTGTTGTGGCTTTTTGACGTGTTGTGGCTTTTTGACGTGTTGCGGCTTTTGCGTTTGTGTTGTGGCGTTTGTATTTGTTGCGGCGTCTGCATTAAAATAGAGTCCCGCGGTCACTTCCCTTGTGGCTTTTTTTGGTTTGTTGTGGCTTTTTGTTGTGTTGTCGCATTTGTATTTGTTGCGGCGTTTGCGTTTGTCGTGACCCCTCTCGGCTTCCGTACGAACCGACTCGACGCAAAAAGACGACAAAAGCTTTCGGAGGCGATAAAAGCAGACGGCCCGACCTCGAAAACGTTCTTGAAGACGCGGACACCTGCGGCTTAGATTGAGACGCGGCCTATAGATGTACAGTTTAGTTCAAATTTAGTTGATGCGACGTATATTCAGATGCGCTCGATAGTCCGGAAATTACGATATCTATCTATCTATTTATCTCCTCGCTCTCTTTCATGGCCCCTCTCTCTCCTGACATCATTTTTCTCCCTCTTTTTTCTTTCACTACCTCTCTGTCCTCTTTCTCTCTCTCCTACTCTGTTCCCTCTCTCCTTAAGTCCCGTGCAGCTTATAAACTTTCCCTTTAAACTGCGCCATATCTCAAATCCACCCCCGTTTGGATTAAATAGATATGCATTTCATTCTCTCCGTCTCTCCTTTCAGGAACCACCTCTGCTTCATACATGTGTTACTCAAACACGGCTTAAAGTACCATTTTCTCACCTCATTGTCGTCAAAGAAGATCTACGGCTTAGAAAAGAAATATCGTCCAACTATTTTTCCTATGAGAAATTGGTCCTTCGGGGCGTCTTACCGGAGCTGGTTCATTTAAAAGGGTTTGTCCAGAGTTATTCCTCGCTTACCTTATGCATTCAGACCGTCCTAATTATTCACCAAGACGAGTTTATAAGCACTTTTCACAACTCCCAGAGACCAGAGCGCGACGGTAAAACTAACAACACTCAAATATGCTTCCTGATTAGATCCGGACAGCTCACGGCAAACTTATTTTGACCTCAAGAGTTGGTTATATCTGGACTGGGATAAGACAAATTTTGCTCAAACATATAGGTACAGCTAAATTTCACCTTCTTTTATTACACAGGTGTCAAACATACGGCTCGGGGGCTGGATCTGGCCCTCCAAGACCTTTAATCTGGCCCTCGGCTGATTTTCTACTAAAATATTTTCATTATATTTTCTATTAAAATATTGTTAATGTTCTGCGGTGTTTATCACAGCTGTAAATAGTAACTAAATACTTCTTAATTACTCATGAACGAACCATTTGCATGTTTACAAATGCATATTTAAGTTCACATTTGAGCATTTATTAATGATTAGTAAGCCATGAGAGAATGATTTACTAATAATGCAATGCAATGATCATTCAGGCAGCTGTTATCTGTTAGTTAAGTCTTTCTGAGAGCTTTTCTAAAGTGAAGACTAATTATGTTTTATCAAGCATTTGTTAAGGTTGGTCAAATTCCAAAGAAACAATAATGCATTACTAGTAAATCATTCTCTCATGGTTTACTAATCATTAATAAATGCTCAAATTTGTACTTAAATATACATTTACAAATGCACACACAAATGGTTAGTTCATGAGTAATTAAGTAAGAAATACTTATGAGTAAGTATTTACAGCACAGGTGAATTAAGTGCAAGTTAAGTGCTAATTCAGGTACTAATTAAGTAGTTACTAAGCGTGAATCATTATTAATTAATTCTTTGTTCATGCTTTATTAAGGCTAAATAAGATGTAGTTATTATAAAGTGTTACAGTTTTATCATTAACTTATGAAAGCGACTACACTGGTCATAACTGACTGCTTAAAGGTGCATTGTGTAACTTTTCTGGTGGAGGGCCCGTCAAATGCTTGTCGCCACGGGGATGTTATTGCTTTGTCTGGAGTGTTTCACAGTGCGGAATTAAACCTTTCTATCTTCAGGGAGACAGAAGCAGACCAAGTCACAGCTCAGATCTGTGGAGTGGTCACAATACCCGTTTTTCTTGGTATTTTTGAGCCATAAATCCACTTATTATTGAATAAATGTAAAGTAGAGCTGACAGACAGAGCAATGATTTATCCATAGAGACAAACATGTGAAGGACCCCCAACCTGAAAAGCTGCACAGTGCACATTTAAAGAATAATCAAATAAAAATGATTTGTGCCGCCATAATCTTAACAAAGTCTACGGGAAACACTGTGTAAAAGTACAGAGAGCTTTAGCCCCTTTTTGGTCACTGAACTGATCGGCAGGACGTGTCTTTAGTCGACCGAGAGTGTGTTCAGTCGACGGCAGCCCTGCATTAGTATAATCGGTGAGTGCGTACCTGAGTTCGTAGGATCTCCCCTTTGCTGAGCTGCATGTCTCCGGTCAGCTCCTTCACAGCGATGCCCAGAGGCTCCAGGCGTTTACTGAAGTAGTTGGTCATCTCGGCGGCCAGGGCCTTCATCGGAGCGACGTACACGATCTGCGCACAAGCACAAAGATGCATGGATTGATAGTTTGCAGTGACATCATCATGCTGGGGGTGTTCTGAATGTGTGTGTGTGGTGAGATGTTCTACACTAGGGCCCGGTCGAGCAGAAGTAAACAGCAAGGCCAAAAATTCAAGTTAATGCATCTAATATAAAAATGTATTGAACAGATACATATGTACTCTAGTTTATGAAACTGTTGACCTTTTTTCTGTACCATTTTTGGTTCTAAAGTTCCACACGTTTTAAACAGACCATGTATGAAACATGGAACAAAAATTATTTCCCAGATTTGAAAGACCTGCAAATCATGTAAATAAATGGATGTATTTCATCATATCTTGTGTTATTCCATCTTTGAACTGTTGATGAAGGTACATGATTTTTCAAAAACATTTTATTTAAAATGATAAAAATTTGCCTGGAAGGACTGACATATTTTATAGAAATAGTTTCCTTTCATTTTGAAGTAATATTAAAGTATTTGGAAGAAAAAAGTGACAAATTATGCAAAATCATGCACCTTCAACTTGTTTGCACAATTTTGTGATATGGAGTCAGATCGTGAGTTTGGTAAACTTATGTTCTATTGTTTATGCCATAATTATCTGAAGAACTGTTAATATGTTACGTTAACATATTAACACCTATTCAGCCTGTTGTTCTCTGTTCTGTTGTTTTTAGTAGAACTTAACTTTCAAGATGAAATGTCGGTTCCTGGTCTCTGATTTTATAAAATACATTTTCCCCAAAAAGGCGACTTATATATGTTTTTTGTTGTTTTGCTGATGCAACTTATACTCCGGAGCGACATATATAGTACGGAAAATACGGTACTTGGTCCAACCCCAAAGTAAATTTCTAAACTTTACCAAAATTATTAAACCATAGAAACCAAAGTAAGCAAAATCTTTCAAAATGTTTTAGTGAAATTTGGAAAGCAACCTGTCATATGCACTTTAAATCGTCGACAAATTCAACCTTCAACCACAGATTCTAGAGGAATTCTTCATGTCGATTATATTTTTAAAAAATATCGAACATATCGGAAACGTTGAACCTAATCATTTTTGTTTCTGACTAGGTTCTTTAGCTTGTTTATTCATATTCATCAAAGTATAATATTTTTCCTATCCTCCATACGTAACATAAAACACAGGCATCAATATAATAATCTCATCTGAAACGCAGCAATATACAGATAATCAATAATGCAAGAAGAATTAAATATTAGTGGGACGATTTTAGTTTATTTTTACTGTAATAATGGACAGTTGTTGAATCCGGTTTGGAGATATTTGTGAAAAGCCCAAGTGTCGTAACACACTCAAAAACAGAGTGGAACTAGGTCATAAAAACAATCCTTATCAAAGTGCTGTTAAATATTAAACGTAAAAACTTCAGGCTGTTGTAATGTAGTGCATTGGTCTATATAAAGCATGAGAGTCTGAATTATTTCAACTGACAAAACACACAATGATGGTAAGTGTTTTAAGTGTTTTCGATTGTTATTTTGACATTGATATTTCACTTCTATGTACGTCCAAAACTCACCGTGTACAGTTTTGCGTCACGCTTTTGTATATTTATGCAAAACTGTCGTGTGGGAGCATTGGACAGAAGGAGAGTTTGAACAGGGCCTGGGAGAGATCGCTAAATTGCTCAAACATGCATGGATGACATCTAAAAACCTCTTCAGACACGTTTTTACATTTGTCAGTCAGTTTGTTTAGGCGCTAAAAAGTGGCATACTGCTTTAATGTATTTATTTGTGATGTAGATTTAGATTAGTACAAATATTTACCGTATTTTTTGGATTATTAGGTGCACTTTAGATCCTTTAATTTTCCCTAAAATCGACAGCGCGCCTTATCCAAAAATCCTAATCCAAAAAATACGGTAAATATTTGTACTAATCCCAATTTACATCACAAATAAATGCTCCCACATGACAGTTTTGCATAAATATACAAAAGCGTGATACAAAACTGCACACGGTGAGTTTTGGACAGAAGGAGAGTTTGAACAGGGCCTGGGAGAGATCGCTAAATTGCTCAAACATGCATGGATGACATCTAAAACTTCTTCAGACACGTTTTTACATTTGTCAGTCAGTTTGTTTAGGCGCTAAAAAGTGGCATACTGCTTTAATGTATTTATTCGTGATGTAGATTGGGATTAGTACAAATATTTACTGTATTTTTTGGACTATAAGGCGCACTTAAGATCCTTTAATTTTCCCAAAAATCGACAGTGCGCCTTATGTATTAATTCTGGTTGTGCTTACAGACCTCGAACTGATTTTATGTGATACACGGTGCTCAAAAATCTGTCAAAATGTTTTAGTGCGACTTTGGTAAATTACGAAGAGGCACCGCGTGATGGATTGTCGTGTCCTTTAGCCCGACAGAAGCTGAACGCATCAGAGCACAAGGAGCGAGTGAGATTTTTCAGCGCTTATAGTTTATGCAAATGGGCCATGTGGTTTTAAGTTTTATTTTTGTAAACTATAAACAAAGGTGCACAAAGCTGCATTAAACACATTATTACTCAATGTATATTTGAGTCCTCGTCGTAGGAAATTAAAAAAACAAATTTAAATGATCCACCCGATTCACCAAGACAGAGAGGCAACACCGAGCGAATTATGCCAGGATCTACCGATGGCTCATGGATGCCCGGGCTAAGGATCAGTCTCAAGTGTCGTCCGTTTGTTTCGCTTAATGCTCCTTTTAATCCGGTGCGCCTTATGTATGAAAATAGACGAGAGCATTCAACATTATTGATATTACGCCTTATAATCTGGTGCGTTTTATAGTCAGAAATATACGATACTCACTACAGTCTAATAAAAACAAGACAGAAGATTTTTTTGTGACATGCATTACGCGCAGAGATTAATCTGGAGTGTTTTCTCTGTAGCTCAGAGTCGTGTTAGTGCTGCTGCTGCCTGTAGTGGCTCTTCAGTCTCCGCTGCCCTTTGACTGCGACGACGTCTACAAATCTGGATCAGGCCAAAACGGCGTCTACACCATTTACCCGGCCGGACCGACCTCTGCTCTGCAAGTTTACTGCGACATGGGAGAAGATGCCACAGACTCTGCTGCCAAATGGACAGTAAGTCTGGGGCTCAAGGACCACTAATATAAGGGAGAGTAGGGATTATTTTGGATTTTGAACATTCATTTCAAAACAAAACTAGATCGACTGAGTAAAAGTGATTTGAATACAGGGGATGTAAGGAAAAAATAACTTTACAAATGACAAGATTTTGTTTAAATGTGAACTACACTGCAAATTTAACTGACTCATGTGGACATTATTCTTATCAGTACTTTGGAAAGTACTTTTAATCACACTGGGGGTGTAAGTTTTAAAATCTAAGGCTTAAGAAAAAACCCAAAATGGATTTAAGTAACAGTTTCAGCTGCAAAGTATCAATAGCTGATTTAAGTGTGTTACAGAAAAAGTGTTTGGAGTGATGTTTGTCTAATAGCCTCTGTTATAACAGGTCATTCAGAGGAGAATGGACGGCACATTGAATTTCTTCAGGAAATGGGACCAGTACAAGACAGGGTTTGGATCTGCTGGTGGCGAGTACTGGCTCGGTAAGCAAGGACACCAAATGTGTTTTTATGCTACAGTGATACGTAGGGAACGTGAAATTATCCTTGTAAAACTCCCTAAATACTGTCAAGATATATATTATTGTATTGTATTTTTATTGAAATTTGCTCACTACATATTTTAAACAAGTAGGATTTATTATTATCATAATTTGTACCTTTATAGGCGAGTTTCAGTTGACGTCATTGTTATTAAAAGCCCGCGTTGCATGCTGGGAAATATTTTGGTCGGAGGCAAGAAACATGGTAGCGGTCAAACACAGTGCGTAACCTCACGTATTTATCCCCGATAATGGTAAATTCCTGCTGCATTATCGGATGCACAAATAGAAGCACGGAAGAAGGAAAATGTCTTTTTCGTATTCTGAGTGAAAAGAACCGCTAACGGTGAATTAAACGGCTTTCAAACATTCGCAGAGCAAACGTAGAAGATCCTAACAAACCGTGGACTCCAACAAGTTCAACAACACATCGAGACTCTTGGAGGTTTTCATCTTTTCTGCTGTGAATGGCCCAGGAGTTTCCACCAAGTCATTGTGGATATCGCCCAAGTGAATATTTGTCCAGGTAGTTGGCGATTCTGACCAGAAATTTGGTTTGGTCCAGGTTTTGTCGGGGTTGAAAAGGGTGATTCTCTCCGTCGATGCTTATGACCAATTTCTGGTCAAATGGTCTTGGGTCCTCTGCCGTTAGAGTGGATAAATAACCAGGATCAATACCCTTTACGTGCTTTTTCGCTCCGTCCATCATGTTGAATTAGTGTTTCTTGCCGCCGAACAAAATAATTCCCAGCATGCAACGCACGCTTTTGTCAACAATGAAACTCGCCTATTTGGCCAGTGAATTTTAAAGAACATACCAGAGACACAATAGTTTAAACACTGAACGCATGTAGCTCTGGGGATTTGGACTCACAGACCAGTCGACTTGTAGAGATAACAAGGCTAAAGTGTCTTGCTGACCGACACAAAAACAGAAGTAGGAGCTGGGATTAAACATCTGACGTGTGGGTGAAGAATTTACCACTGCGTCACTGCAATCAGTCACACTTAATTACAGCAATTTCTTCATTTTGGCAATACTTGCTGCAAAGAATCATGGTAAATGTGGTCCTTTCTGCTTTTAATATGCTGCTACTAAAAATAAACAAGCATGTTCCTCAAAGAAGATTACCCTTGAATAAAACTGTCCCTTATTTTCCAACCCTCTTTCCCAGGTTTGGAGGCGATGCATTTAATGACAAAGGGAAAAGCCTATGAACTGAGAGTGGACATGGAGGACTTCGACGGGACCGCGGTTTATGCATGTTACTCCTCTTTCGCTGTTGGACCAGAGTCGGACGGATACAGGCTCAGTGTGGGGACATTTGTCAAAGGAGCGGCAGGTAGAACACCGGGGGGGGTGGGGTTTCCTGTCAGGAGAATTACTATTAACACTTTGCAGCTGAAGCCATCAACATCGTCTGCAGCTAACTGAGGCACTCCTCTGTCTGAAGCTCGGTTACACAAGTTAGACTTATTTTAAGACAATCTGACCATAAAATACAGATTTAGATGAAACTACAACACGTGAGCTGCTTTTGTACCGTTAACTCTTTCCCCCATGAAGACGACATTTGACGACCCCCCTTGTTTCCTTAATGACGTGATTTGAAACCTCTGCTGTATCACTAAGGACGTGATTTGACGACCATTAGAAGCAGTTCTTGTTTTCCACATGTAAACAGAGGTTGTGATAGGTGGGGGCCACTACAACCCACACTAGGCTGACCAATAGGATTCAAGGATATGTTTTTGCCGATTTTTTCCGAAGTTTATCGAAGTAGTGGCGATTGTAGCTTCTGGAAAAAACACAACACGAAACACGAGCAAACGGAAAGATTGCGGTGCACAGTTTTACAAATAATGAGGAGTGGACATATTTTATGGATAAGTTTCGAGAAAGTGACTTTTATAGATTTCAAAGTGATGATGAAGTTGATTATAAAGTGGAAAACGGTGATAGCGACGGAATTTCAGACAGTGACAGTTTTTGAATGGGCCCGCGCATCGTACAGGTGTCTGTGTTTTTCTGTATGTGAACTGAACGGTCGGAAGGCGACCGGAGCGAGTCAGGAAGCAGTTGTCCTGTTATTTAGTGCATCAAGGCAAATAAAGCCACGATTCTTGAGCAACAAACTGGCGCGTTTATTGAGCCCAAGCACTCACGGTGAGGCTCCGAACAGGGAGTTAAACCCTGAGCAACGAGCGGCGTTTTGTTACGGACAATTAAGAATGCAAACATGCACTTTGAGCGAATTTTGGAATGAATGAGCTATAGAGTTTCCATTTTTATCGAGGCTCCTTAGTTTGTTTGCTATATGATTGTTCTAAAATCTAAAATCAATCGCGGATGGCGGGCGAGTGCGGTTTTGAAAATTGGTCAAAACCTTGGGTGCAAATGGATAGTGGGCGGATGATGAGTTTTGTGTCGCGGTTGCAGATGAAAAAATAGCCCATTCGCGCATCTCTAGTCTGTATGGAGTCCTGCGATATCCCAACAAACTATCAGGGACTTTATACTGGATTATCGACCAAAACTGTCCTGAAATCTGGATGTTTCTCAGGTGAGTCCTTTCAAATATTTCCGTCTTTTTTTTCAAGATGAGATGTATGACAGAATTGCCACAGAAACAAATGCTTACGTGGAGCTCTGCACAAGAGAAAGTAACCAAGATGACAAATACTGGACACGCTTTGACGAGGAAGAGTTTTATTATGAAATTCATGAAATTATGATATGAAATCTGTTGAAATACTTAGACAAATATATTTTTACTTTTTTTTTTTTAAATGAATATAGTACTCAGAACATGCATATATCAGATGCTGAATGTAGCTTGCTTGTTTTTGATTTTGCCCCTGACCAGGTAAACTCTCATTTTCAGTGAGCTGTTATAAACCTGTAAATGAGTAGAATCACATTTAAACATCCAGAAATGAAGAGTTCAGTGTCTAAGGTTTCCAGAGATACCAAATATGTCTGTGTTTCAATGAAGTTCATGAGGGTGAAAATCATTTACAATCGTGGAAGTCCGTTTTTTTTTTTTTTTTTTTTAATGCAATTGCGCTCTATGGGCAGCTCTAGTCATATATGTACAGGTTGTTCCTAGTCGGCATCCAAGGGGGAAGAGTTAAACAAGTCTCTCCTAAATAGCTGACTAGCATTAACAACAGGGCTGGGTATCATTAAGAAGTCGCCGATACGATACATACCTCGATACACAGGCCACGATACGATACAACTCTTGATACAGTGCACTTTATTTCAAATCAATTCGATTCGGTTCAAGAAAAAAGTAAAGGCTGCGATACTAAAAGACACTTCTTGTCCAAAGTTCATATGAAACACAAACATTTTAATCATCAAAACAGTGAAAATGTCAAATGTGTCGCATAAACGAGTTTCCTTCCACTAAACCAGGGGCGCACAATACGTCGATCCTGATCTACCAGACGATCGCCAAGGTCGTGTGGGTAGATCGCTGCGTCTCGTCTCGGACTCGATCGCGTTTGGACTCGGTCTTGTCTCTCACTCGAGGTCTGACACTCAACAAGTGTGATCATATTTCATTACGGCCGCTGCTGTTGGTAATAAACTTGTAGCGGGTGCAGGAGCGTGTGGGGCGTCTCAGTGCAGCCTGTGCGCTCATTTGAAACCCGCGGAGACTCTACGGCGCATCACAAACACACACGCTCCCTATGCACGGCTCGTCTGCGACAGCGTGTGCCCTCGTGTACCAGCGTGCATCACAGGGCAGGTTCAACTTCCTAAACATCCTACCTGTCCATCTGCCTCACGTCAGCACGCCGCCCCTCGCCTTTTCACGCTCTCGCTCCTTCCTGCGTACAGCGAACACAAGCCCCTCCCACAGTGCGGCTGATTAGAAGAGCGAGACCAAACGTGAAGCAAAAACCAGTCTAAATTTGTGTTCCAGTGTTGGCACAAAGCAGGTCTACAGCATAGAGCGGATCTACAGAACAGACCTACTGCCACATTTGGCTGAAGTTTGTCTAACAAAAGTGCACAAATGCATCTGTGTTTGTCACGATGTGTGTTTGGTTTGGTAAATGTGCAGAGGCTGGTAAATATCACTGCAAAACCAGAAAAGAATGAAACTCCAGTTTGACACGTTAAAGAACAGGTTTAAAAATCTTCCTTCACTTTTTTCACAGTTTTGTGTAAAGTGCCAGAGGAAGTTCTTTTAAAGAAGAGGTTCTCAAACTGTGGGTCAGGGTCCAAAAAAGGGGCACAGAGTGTTTCAGTGCAGTTTGCTTGGCTTTGTAGATCATTTTGACTTGGTCATTTTGTAAGTAGCTCGTCTGCTGAAAAAGTATGAGCACCTCTGCACTAAACGAACAACAAAACTGTAGCGCTGTAACACAATACTTTAGTAAAATAACCCAAAAACTACTTTTGGCGATATATATTGCATATTGTATATTGTATATTGATACAGCAGCCCACGATATCGATACTTAAACACATTAAACCATACGATATATTGACATTAGATAAGTAGCATTAGCCAACAGTTTTTCGACTAGTTACTCTTACAATTTTGTTGAGAATCAAAAACTCAAATGTGTGAGTTTTTTATACAATCTTAAAACTTAACAGGCTGAGTTTGATAATATGTGTGTTGTGTCACCATGGCAACTGCTGAACATTCCTCCGTAGACATACATGCTGCCCCTACGGTGTGCTGTCACTGCGTTTCGTTCAATATGTGAGACGGAACAATAATTTTGGGCGTCAGTCTTCGTCGTGTGTGTATATATCATGTTTTCTTTGTACCAGTGAGGAACTTTTGTTATTTATTTTTTCTGTAATACAGTGAGATTTGAGCTGTAGAGGGTTGAATACTTATTTCAGACTCATAATAGAAACTAAAAAACTAAGTACTAAGTGTTTCAGTCGGCTATTTATTTTTCTGCAGCTCGTGCTATTTAACGATATTGCACATTCAGAATATTTGGTGGGATAATCCTGCTTTAGCGTTATTGTGTCACTGGCATACATTAGTTCCAGTATTATAATACACTAATACACTATGCAAGAAAACTATCCACCCACAGGAAGAACATGCAAACTCAGCACAGCAACGCCTCAGCTCCCCATTTCAAAACAAAAAAGGGTGTGTTACACTTCTACGGGGTTTTAATTGCCAACACATAACATATGTAGTTTCCATATGCAGCTCTTTTAATACGTTTTGTTTTTGACAGTCTGAGTGCCCTTTGCTGCCCGAACTAAGTCAGGCATGTTTTTGATGAGGGAACAATATTATAACCAGTGTTGGGAAGGTGACTTTTAAAATGTATTCTCCTACAGATTACAGATTACATACAACAAAATGTAGTTTGTAAAGTAATCCATTATATTACTTAAAGTGAGCAACGTAATCTGAATACTTTGGATTACTTGATATTGTCATGCCTTTTTAAAACTACATGAATATAACAACCACATCCTGAAAATTCATGTTTGTTCTCTTCAAATTGTCTGTTGAGCCCAAGTCATAACTAGCAGTTCTCACTTACATATCCTTAACAAACTGGTTTGAATATTTGCTTCATATACTTTTCTACCATATGGTACAAGATTAGGTTGAAAAACCTCTTACTTTTTGAGTCATGAGATTTTTTATTAAGAAAGGTCATGGTAACGGAGGGAAAAGTAACGGAGGGAAAATTGTGCAAACAAGTAGAAGGTGCATGATTTTACATAATTTGTCAACTTTTTTCTTCTGAATACTTTAATATTACTTCAAAATGAAAGGAAACTATTTCTATAAAATATGTCAGTCCTTCCAAGCTACTTTTTTATAATTTTAAATAATTTTTTTTGAAAAATCATGTACCTTCATCAACCGTTCAAAGATGGAATAACACAAGATATGATGAAATACATCCATTTATTTACATGATTTGCAGGTCTTGTTTCATACATGGTCTGTTTAAAACATATGTAACTTTAGAACCAAAAATGGTACAGAAAAAAGGTCAACAGTTTCATAAACTAGAGTACATATGTATCTGTTCAATACATTTTTATATCAGATGCATTAAATTGAATTTTTGGCCTTGTTGTTACTTCTGCTTGACCAGGCCCATAAATAAATGAGATGTAGCACAAAATGTGAAAACAGGAAAATATCACCATGTAATCCATTTATTTCAGCAAAGTAACTATAATCCAATTACCACTCTTTGAAACAGTAACTCATAATTTGTACTTTGATTACGTAATGCTGGCACATGTGATCCGTTACTCCCCAACACTGGTTATAACATGAATTATTATTATACCCCCTTATACTTTAACCCCTCAGCCGCAGCGCCACATATTTATATCAACTCTTTCTTTTGTCTTTTGTTGTAGGAGACTCACTAACGATCCACAACAACCAAAAATTCACCACTTTCGACAAAGACCAGGACACGCATGGCTCCAACTGCGCAGTGCTCTGCTATGGGGGGTTCTGGTTTGAAGCATGTTTTGCAGCCAATCCAAATGGAGTGTACACGTGGGGACCCTCACCGCGCTACGCCGGCGTTCACTGGAGTACTTTTAAAGGACTTGAATACTCCCTCAAAACTCTGGTTATGAAGATACGGCCAGTAACGGCATAAAGTTTAACAAAGAGTATTTCAGTGTTGCTTGTTCATGTACTGCTGAGATTCAGACATCACAGCTCACACTCTGGTCCTTCAAAACGTGTACAGTATATAATGTGAAGAATCTCTAATTAATTAAAGTATTGAATTTTTTCTGTTGCATGTGTAGCACTTTGTGCTACATTTCAAATGTATGAAAAGTGCTATACAAATAAAGTTTGATTGATTGATTGACTGATAAAATCCGGACTATTGAGCACACCTGAATATAAGCCGCATCAACTAAATTTTAACAAAATTTTAAACTTAGGCCGCACCTGAATCTAAGCTGCAGGTGTCCACGTCTTCAAGAACGTTTTCAAGTTCGGGTCGTGTGCTTTTATTGCCCCTGAAATCTTTTGTCGTCTTTTTGGGTTGAGTCAGGTCGTCGCGCTGCCGTCGACAACGTCTCACCGTCGACTCACTGACACCGAGTTCACGTGCAGCAGCTCTGTTTCCTTCTTCCACATCCACATCAGTCGCCGTTAACATAAAAGCTGCGTCATCTGCATTTCTTCGTGTGTTTTCCATGAGGAGGGTGTGTGCATGAAGCGCAAAAAAACAGTTCAAAACACAATCAAACTAGAATCTTCTTCGACGCATCACCCCCGTCTCTCCTCTGCGCATGTCTCTTGGAGAAAGAGTCTCTGTTCTGTCTGTATCATGTCAGTGTCTTGGAGGATTTCAGCAGATTTCAGACTCTCTCGGGGGCGGGGATAGATGTATCAATCAGGTCTGAGTGGATGTCCGGCTACTGAAGTTTGAGACGTTTCTTCTCGTCATTTACACACACGGGTAAGACGTATCCCCCTCACTAATGTTCATTTAGAGTCATAACTTATTTTATCACACGACGATAAACTATTTGAGTGCACTGACAATATCGCGACTTCATGTTAACACTAGATCCATGTGTAACCGCACAGACAGCGATGTTTTCTGCACTCAGGCTGTACGTATCCGCCGTATTACCAAACCACAGACTGTATATATGAACGGACAATGTGCCAAACAAAGAATCCGTCCATATATTCGCCGCATCGTTTTATTAGCCGCAGGGTTCAAAGTGTGAGAAAAAAGTAGCGGCTTATAGTCCAGAATTTACGGTATTTTTTGGTATTTAAAGGTAAAAAGGAAGATTAAAGTCATGATTTACAGGTTTAGTCTGTTTTTATACATACATTGTTTCTTAGTTCTTGTTGCTGGTGTGGTGTTGGGAGTGCAGTTTGGGTCCGCGACACATAGATGGGGCGGGAATCTACGACTATCTCACGATTCAGTTCGATTCTAAGACTCGTGAGCTCAGACAGGATACCTCTTTATGTCTTACTGTATTTTACTGTTCAGATCATATCAGTGGATACTTTTTTAACTGTGCAGAGCAATGATTTTATTTTTACTTTCTTTATTTTCTTTTATTTTTTCAGTGACAGGGATTAGTTTAGCAGGTGGGAGATATTGGGGATATAACAGCACATCAGTGGCTCTTAGCAGCGCTTCATCTGTTTAGCTTCTCTGCAGACGTTTATTAGAGAAACTACAGCCCACACGCCTCTGTCCTCTGCAGGGACACAGTGTGGAGTTACTTTAGAGCAGTTTGTCTGAGTTTTGCATTAAAGCTATGTGGGAATTAATTTCTGTATTTTTAGTGTTTCATTCATGTTAATTCACCATGCAATGTGGAAGGGGTTCAATGTTCTTGTACATGTGTCATAAAGAGAAGTCAGTGTCTGAACTTTAAAATGTCAATGAGTTTGGGACATGTTATGATGGACTTTGTGATGTATATGAGACATAAAGGGGGAGTGTCTGAACTCTTTAACATATGACTATCTGTGTTTACACTGTCTAGGTCAACATTTCTGTGAATTTCCTGTAAATACCAGTTACAGTTTGTCAATATTCTGACGAGATGGTCAGTATAAAGCTGTCAGCTCTTCTTGTACTAGGAGAGGTGACGTGGAGAGATGCTGTGTGAATCAACTTGAATCAAGAGATCTGTACCTGTGTGAGCCGAATAAAGAGACATGTTTCTGAACACCTTTAATCCTTCTGGACTCTCTTTTAAGGCTCTTTCCAGGCCCCTCCAGAAGAAGCTGACAGCTACTTTTCGACAACGTAACATGAAGCTCTCTCCAAAATGTTTACCGTATTTTCTGCACCATAGAGCGCTCATAAGGCTCCAACCCCATCAAAAAACGCCCAACAATCCAGAGCGCCCTGTACACGAATCCACTCGGGTGTCCCAGCACGACTTCAGTAAACTACAAAGCCGCACCACCCACAGAACACACAAACACACAAGGAGCAGACAGCGACCGCACAACGACAAACACCCACAGACACACTCATCACTCCACGCCGACGAGGAACGGAACGGACGAACGAACCGAAAAAGCGAACGCAATGTGCCGCTTCTAGACACGACTGAACAACTGAGTCACTGCGAACACGCCGACAATCCGTTGGTCCCACACAGCACCCTCCCTACACGCCACAACTGAACAAAGCCCAGAGTCACAGTGAACGAACAAACAAACAAAACCACTCACCCATCACACTGTTGTGTTTCACTTAAAGTCCAGTGCGGTTTATTTGTGAAAAAAGTTCAAAAATAGACCATTTAATGACAGTGTGTCTTATAATCCAGATGCTCTGAAAGGGATAAAATGATTCGTTTCTTCACTGTTCCTCTGGAAATTACTCATCAGGAGCTCAAACAAGGGAATTATCCAAAAAAAAAGACACGGATTATGTCTAGAGAACATAAACCGCGAAGAGATTTCCTGTGGTACCATCAAGACACACTCACGTCACTTTCATCAAGGTATTTGCTATTTAAATTGTTTCATAGTTTATTTAATGAGAGAAGCACATTTACTGAACTAAAATGTAAAAAGAAAACATTTTCAGTGTGAGTGGCAGTAGAAACTGTATCTTCCAGCGCACATATAAACATGTCACTCATCGTAGGACCCATGTTTTCTTTATTGTCTTGCTTAACCACAACTATGTCTTCTAGAATTAATCGCTTTTTGTGAGCGGATCTTTCTAACGTTGGCGAGGATCTTTTCATGGACAATTCTTTCGAAATTCCGCTCACAGACTCTTCGACTCCTGCACCATGTTGATCACAGGAGCCCAGTGTGGGTTTGTTGAATCGTAAACTAGTGCGGGTTTTCCTGGATAAATTGATGAAATTTTAGTTCAGTAAATGTGCTTCTTTCATTAAATAAACTATGAAACAATTTAAATAGCAAATACCTTGATGAAACTTCGGGTGTCTTGATGGTACCATTGGAAATCTCTTAGCGGTTTATTTTTGCTATCCATAATCTGCGTCATTTTTTCGATAATTCCTTTGTTTGAGCTCCTGATGAGTAATTTCCAGAGGAATAGTGAAGAATCTAATCATTTTATCCCTTTCAGAGCGTCTAGAACAACCAAATACACAACAAAACCTGCCCATGTTTCTCCGATGCTGCTGAAGTCAATGACATAGTGTGCCCGGTGTCACGGCGGCGTAGTTACCGTTGCTATAGGGGTCACGTGACGGTGCAAAGCCTCTAGAGTACGGAAAATACGGTACGTTATGAGCCTTTTCCTAAACACTCAAACATGAACGAAATAAAGCTCCAGATAAGTCCTGAACACAGAGACATCCCCGTGGGTCTCTGTGTGACCGTGGACAGCAGTCACCAGATCGTGCTTTGTGGACACCCTGCTCCACGTGCTCTCTTAAAGGTTGTATGGAGGATTTTTTTTTTGTTTCAGATTGTTAGTGAAAGTTTAAAATACTATTACATAGATGCAGCAGCCTTGTAATTACGATGACCAAAAAAAAAAAAAGAATGAAAATTTATCAACTGTGAACGTGTTGAGGCCAGATAAACATCAGCCAATAGAAAACGAGGCTACCTCATTTTCTATTGGCCGTTAGGTTGTCAATCAAACTCCCTACGTTTCTAGTGTAACTGACTCGTTGGTTTATGCAGCGGTTCTTAGAGGCTTTTTCAAACTGTCGCTTCCTTGCAGTTCGCACAAAGTTTGTTGCGATGTCGGACGAGAATCCACGACCGGTTTGCCGCCAAAGAAAGTCAGTTTTTGAGGTCGTTGAAAGAAGAAGAGAATAGGAAAAGGAGCGAAGACAAACTGAGGTGATTCTTGGTGTTCTCTTCCAGCGATGGCGTGAATGAAGCAGACGACGGGTCTAAAAACTGACGTGTCGGTCGCTAAATTATTTCCAGACAGGTCACTTCAACAGTCATTCTGAACTTGCTGTAAACAAGTGCGATTTCTAGAGTAAGGAGGGAGTTTCTACTGAGGGAGCTGTGGAGGATGAAGGTGGTGTCACGCATGCACAATATTTGAAAAAGGAATGTCACTGTATTTGTTTTCCCTTAAAAATCCTCTATACAACCTTTAAGTCCGCAGGTACCCGAGCCTGTCCAGGACTCCACAGTGAGAGCTGGAGAGCGAACGAAATGACTCTTAGAACCGGCTCTTTGAAGGGAACGACGGGAGCCTGATCCTTATTGGGAGCCGTGTTTTCTCTTTCTCTCACTTTTTTTCTGTTCACGCCGCGTGCAGATTCGTGGTTTGACAGCGGCAGCGGCTAAAAACGAAACTTTGAGAAATTTGCGTGTACGTAGGATTAAAAAAAAAAAAAAAAAAAAAAAAAACGAGCATATTTGACTGTAGTTTAGCATAAAATAAATAAGTCCCGGTTTAGTCCTTTTTCAGTCCTGGTTTAGACCTGGTTCAGTCCTGATTCAGTCCTGCTTTAGACGTGCTTTAGTCCTGCTTGCAACAAAACAATCTGAAGAGCCACTTGGGAGCCAAAAGAACCAGCAGCTTTTAGTGAGCCGAGCCAAAAGAGCCGGTTCTCTAAAAAGAACTGGAATACCCATCACTAGTGTCTAGAATGTGATGCAAAAATGCCATTAAGTCAACCTACTGTCTGTAAATATGATGTAAAGAGGCAGAATAACAATAAATGTTGCCTAAATAAACCCAATTTAAAATCCACCAGAGCCAAACCTAAGTTTTTTAAACAATTCAACATTTACAGTGAATTTTTACATCACTAAATATATCGGTGATTATATCGGCTATCGGCAGCTCCAACTTCCATTATATTGGTTTCATATCGGCCACAGCAAAATCCATATCGGTCGGGCTCTAATTATAACTCCAGGGGATGTGGGGTGGGGAAAGGGGTGCGACATCACAGCATACCGCCCTGAAAACCCATCTCTTTAAAAAAAACTTTCATTAACTGTCTTTTCTCTTGTTTGTCGTTGTTTGTCTTCTCACGTAAAGCGTCTTTGGGTATCTTGAAAAGCGCTATACAAGTGTTATGTATAGTTATTATTATTATTACCGCGACAGCCCTATTCCCACCCCTAAAAGAGATACATAATAGTTCTGAGAGCTGTTGCCACGCCCTCTTTTAGTCGACTAATCAGCTGACAGGACATTTCGTAAGTCGACTCCAGCCTTAGTGAAATCCAGACGTATACATTAGAGGGTCTGTGTTGTCCTGGTGGTATCTGCGCACACACAGTGACACAGACACTCCTCATTCATCACCATTACACTTTGCCCATCCCAGACTCCACCATCATATTCTCTATAAATTGTGATTTGTGCTGGTTGCCTGGGAACAAACGATCGCGACTGGTTTAGCTCATTAATCACGGCACTGTCCTCCTGGTCCCTTTTCTCTGGCACGCAGCCCTCAAATACCAACTACCCGCTGCACTACCTCAAATAGTCTATTTAACGAGGCTTCGGGGCTCCTCTAATAGTATCTGCAAGTCTTTTATTTAGTCAAAATACCAAAGTAGAGAAAAAGCGACATCCTAGTTCAACAATTAGTCAGACACAAGAACAAAAATCATCTTACTAAAGTTATAATTCCACGTCGCACACAAAACAAAACAGATTTAAGTGTATCCACAATGACTTGGTGGAAACTCCTGGGCCATTCACAGCAGAAAAGATGAAAACCTCCAAGAGTCTCGATGTGTTGTTGAACTTGTTGGAGTCCACGGTTTGCTAGGATCTTCTACGTTTGCTCTGCGGATGTTTGAAAGCCGTTTAATTTGCCGTTAGCGGTTCTTTTCACTCGGAATACGAAAAAGACGTTTTCCTTCTTCCGTGCTTCCGATAATGCAGCGGGAATTTACCATTATCGGGGATAAATACGCGAGGTTACGCACTGTGTTTGACGCTATCGTGTTTCTTGCCTCCGACCAAAATATTTCCCAGCAGCAACGCGGGCTTTTAATAACAATGACGTCAGCTGAAACTCGCCTATAGTCCGGAGAATACAGTACATACATACAGACTCCCCCAGCGCGATGTCAGTGCTGAGTATGAATAAAAATCGCTTCTTACCTTAAACTCGTCCTTCTTGATGACCCCGCCGGGCTGCAGGTGTTGGCGGATCTCATGGAGCACAGTGAGCATAGCGATGTTGGTTTTGCCAGCACCCGTGGGAGCACAGATGAGCAGGTTCTCGTTGGTGTTGTAAGCCGTCTCAAAAACCAAAGACTGGATTCTGTTCAAGCGCTTCATCCCTTTGAACACCAGCTGACCAATCTGAAAGCAAAAAGCAAACAAAAATAAGTACAGTCATGTATTCATTAATATTTTATTTGGTAAATTAAATAAAATAAAAAATATAATAATAATAATAATAATAATAATAATAATAATAATAATAATAATAATAATAACTAAACAATAAAAAAATAATAATTAAATAATAAAAAATAAAAAATAATATATAATTGGGAAAAAAAATTAAATATGAAAAAAATAAATAAATAATAAATAAATAAATGAAAAATTATAAAAAATAAAATATAATAAATAAAAAAATAAAAATAGTAATAAATAATAAATAAATAAAATACAATAAAAATAAAATAAAATAAAATTAAGAAATCTAATCAAATCAAATGAAACAGCAACAAAGTAAAAATGTCAGTTGTGGAAATGGGATAAACACAAATAAAGAACAAATTTATCCTATAATATGTGTCCCCAAAATATCAAACACAATGTTACACACTTTATAAATATTAAATAAATCAGCACCATGGACAGAGACTGAACCCAGCGTGAACCAGGACTGAACAGGGACTAAACCAGGACCGAACCAGGACTAAACTAGAACTGAGCCGTGACTGAACCAGGACGGAACCAAGAATAAACCCAGACTGAACTAGGACAGAACCAAAACCAAACCAGATTGAACCAGGGCTAAACCAGGATTTAACCAGGTCAGAATCGGACCGAAACCAGATTGAACCGGACTATAGAAACAGTCCAAAACCAGAACTAAGTCAGGACTAAACCAATAACCGGACCAGGAAGAACCAAGATGAACCAGAAAAGAACCAAGACTTGAGCAGACCAAAAACCAGGATTAAATCAGGAATAAAACAGGACTGAACCCGGACTAAAAATGGACTGAACCAGGTTTATTTTGAGCATAAAATATCGGTCAACTGATAATTTTACTCCATAGCAACATCTTTAATCCAAAACGACGAGCGAGAACGTTGCCGGTGAAAAGAGACAAGAGACGAGAGTCTTGTCTGACACTGAAAACAGAACGACTGTGACACAGACGAGAGAGAGAGAGAACGAAAGAGAGAAAGAGAAAGAGAAAGAGAAGAGAGAGAGAGGGGGACCAGAGGAAGAAGAACAGGGTCTGTGTGGGCTTCAGCTGTCAATCAAACTGCCCTGTGCTCTGACCCTCGAAGGAAAGAAAGAGAGGAAGGAGAGAGGGAGAGAAGGGCAGGGAGAGGAGAAGAGGAGATGAGAGGAGAGGAGAGAGGAAGAGAGGAGAGAAGGAGAGGGATAGAGGAAAGGTGGAAAGAGGGAGTGGAGGATAGAGGGAGAGGGAAAGGAGTAGAGAGGAAAAGAGGAGAGAGGGAGAGGAGGAGGCGAGGGATAAAGGGAGAGGAGGAGAAGAAGAGAGGGAGTGGAGGAGAGGGAGAGAGAGGGAGAGAGGGAGACGAGAAGGAGAGCGGGAGAGAGAGAGGAGGAGAGAGGGAGAGAGGGAGAGGAGGAGAGAGGGAGAGAGGAGAGAGGGAGAGGAAGAGGAGAGGGAGTGGAGCAGAGAAGGAGAGAAGGAGTGGAGGAGAGAGGGAGAGGAGGAGAGAGGGAGAGAGGAGAGGAGGAGAGAGAGAGAGATGGAGTGGAGGAGAGAAGGAGAGAGGGAGAGATGGAGTGGAGGAGAGAAGGAGGGACGGAGAGGAGGAGAAGAGGAGGCGAGGGATAAAGGGAGAGGAGGAGAGACGGAGAGAGGGAGAGGAGGAGAGAGGAAGGAGGGGAGGGAGAGGAAGAAAGACGGAGAGAGGAAGTGAAGGAGAGCGGGGGAGAGAGGAGAGGATAAGAGAGGAGAGGAGAGAGGGAGAGGAGGAGAGACAGAGAAGAGTAAAGGGGGAGAGGAAAAATGAGAGTGGAGGAGAGGAGGTGGAGAGGGAGAGCGGGTAGAGAGCGGGAGAGAGGAGAAGAGGCGGAGAGAGGGAGTGGAGTAGTAGAGGGAGAGAGAGAGAAACCTCTGACTCTGACTCTGCCTGGCAACAGACGACGGCTGAAATGTGATTGGTCAAATACTTTAATGTGGAAGCGGCACAATCATCGGAAAATCTCTGAAAGGAAGTGGACAGAACATTTGGAATTATTTAATAACAATATTGGGTCTGGTCAAGCAGTAACGGAGGGAAACGGGCAGATTTTTGACATTCAAATGTCTCTTATTCAGAAACTAGAGGGACTATTGAAATAAGTAAAGTATCAGAATGTAGGAAAGAGTTACACTCCAACAGGGTCAAGTTAAACCTGTGATATTCTTTCAAGTTGTTGACAAAAAATTTAAAAAAACTCGGAGGGAATGAAATATGCAGCACTTTTTGGGCAATAAATCCAAACAGTGATAACTCTTGGTTCTCACTTACATATCCTTAACAAACTGGTTTGAATATTTGCTTCATATAGTTTTCTACCATATGGTACAAGATTAGGTTGAAAAACCTCTTACTTTTTGAGTCATGAGATTTTTTATTAAGAAAGGTCATGGTAACGGAGGGAAAAGTAACGGAGGGAAAATTGTACAAACAAGTAGAAGGTGCAGGATTTTACATAATTTGTCAGTTTTTTCTTCTGAAATACTTTAATATTACTTCAAAATGAAAGGAAACTATTTCTATAAAATATGTCAGTCCTTCCAAGCAAATTTTTATCATTTTAAATACATTTTTTTTTTTTTTATCATGTTCCTTCATCAACAGTTCAAAGATGGAATAACACAAGATATGATCAAATACATCCATTTATTTACATGATTTTTGCAGGTCTTTCAAATCTGGGAAAAATAGTTTTTGTTCCATGTTTCATACATGGTCTGTTTAAAACATATGTAACTTTAGAACCAAAAATGGTACAGAAAAAAGGTCAACAGTTTCATAAACTAGAGTACATATGTATCTGTTCAATACATTTTTATATCAGATGAATTAACTTGAATTTTTGGCCCTGTTGTTTACTTCTGCTTGACCGGCCCCAATAATAATTAACATCAGTCTGTGATTCAGATATTTTTTTAGACCAGCAGAGAACAAGCTCTGACGTCCCACCACTGTGTGAGTTGAGTACAGTATATTTATGCAGATTAGTAATAGTAATAATAATGATGATTAATAATTCATTGAAAATCAGTCGTTAAGTCTCCCGACGACTGATTAAGAACATTTAATCGAACGCCCATCCCTAGTACATAAATATTTGTAAAGTTTCGTCATCGCTGTACATAAGCAACCACATAATTTTTTTAATTTTAGAAACTGCGTCATGAACAGAGGCGGGTTCATAAACGTTTTTCTTCTTCTCCGTCTGATTATTGTTTCTCTCTTGGCACAAACGAATCCCGTTTTCTATCGCACTGATTTTATTTTTATTTTTTTAATTTTTTTTGTCCTTTTTCCGTGTGTGTGTTTGGGTTTCTCGTGCGCGTCGGTTCGGGCTCCGGACGCCTTGAGCTTTAGACAGGTCGTATTATTTATTCAAGGATTCATTAGAAGTATGTCATCACTTTTCTCCCCTCTGCGTTTCGCTCCAACACTCAGAGAACGAAATAATTAAAGAGAGCAAGAGGGAGGGAGGGAAAGAGAGAGAGAGAGAGATGGAGGGAAAGAGAGAGGGAGGGAAAGAGAGACGAGAGAAGAGAGAGGGAGGGAAAGAGAGAGGGAGAGAGAGAGGGAAAGAGAGAGGGAGGGAAAGAGAGAGGGAGAGAGATGGAGGGAAAGAGAGAGGGAGAGAGAGGGAGGGAGGGGTAGAAGGAAAGGAGGAGGGACTGAGAAGAGGAGAGAGGGAGAGAAGAGAGAGGGAGAGACGGAGAGAAGGAGAGAGGGAGAGATGGAGAGAGGGAGAGACAGAGAGAGGGAGAGACGGAGAGAAGGAGAGAGGGGAGAGACAGAGAGACGGAGAGAGGGAGAGACGGAGAGGAGAGAGGGAGAGACGGAGAGAGAGAGAGAGGGAGAGACGGAGAGAAGAAAGAGGGAGAGAGACAGAGAGGAGAAGAGAGGGGAGAGAGAGAGAGAGAAGAAGAAGAGAGGGAGAGAGAGGTGAAGAGAGGGAGAGACAGAGAGGAGAGAGAGAGGGAGAGACAGAGAGACGGAGAGAGAGGGAGGGAGGGAAAGAGAGAGGGAGAGAGAGGAGAGAGGGAGGGGTAGAGGAGAGGAGGAGGGATGAGAAGAGGAGAGAGGGAGAGAAGAGAGAGGGAGAGACGGAGAGAAGAAAGAGGGAGAGAGGAGAGAAGAAGAGAGGAGAGAGGAGAGAGGAGAGATGGAGAGAGGGAATGGAGGAGAGAGGGAAGAGAAGAGAGGAGAGTGGGAGAGGAGGAGAAGAGAGGGAGAGCCAGAGAGAGGAGAGAGAGAGAGAGAGAGAGAGAGAGGAGAGAGAAGAGAAGAGAGAGAGAGAGAGAGAGAGAAGAGAGACAGAGAGACAGAGAGACAGAGAGACAGAGAGAGGAGAGAGAGACGGGAGAGACAGAGAGAGGAGAGAGAGAAGAGAGAGGGAGAGAGAGAGAGAGAGAGAGAGAGAGAGAGAGAGAGAGAGAGGAGAGAGAGGAGAGACGAGAGAGAGGGAGAGAGAGGAGAGAGAGAGAAGAGAGAGAAGAAGAGAGGGAGAGAGGAGAGAGATGGAGAGAGGGAATGGAGGAGAGAGGGAGAGAGAGAGAGAGAGAGTGGAGAGGAGGAGAAGAGAGGAGAGGGAGGGAGGAGGAGAGAGAGAGGGAGAGAGAGAGGGAGAGGGAGAGGAGGAGAGAGAGAGGGAGAGAGAGAGAGAGGGAGAGAGAGAGAGAGAGAGAGGGAGAGACGGAGAGAGAGAGGAGAAGAGAGAGAGGAGAGAGAGGAGACGGAGAGAGAGGGAGAGGAGAGGAGAGAGAGGAGAGACGGAGAAGAGGAGAGAGAGAGAGAGAGAGAGACGAGAGAGGAGAGAGGGAGAGGAGAGAGAGAGGAGAGAGAGAGGGAGAGACGGAGAGACGAGAGAGAGAGAGGGAAGAGACGGAGAGGAGAGAAGGGAGAGAC